CCCCCAAAGCTCGGATCGCAGCCAGGGACCTAGAGCGGCTCCAGTCCACGACTACAGGCTCGGCCCCCCACGTACAGTCAGGAGACATTCTTCTGGCTCGTGAGGACCCTTGAGGGCCGCAGCGTGTCTCTCTCCCGTCCACCCGCCGCCCTCATCGGGAACTCGCCAGGACCCCCACGGAGAGCGAGGAGCGAGGCGCGGGGGACGAGGATGGAAGGCGATTACAACCAGCCCTTGCAAACAACTCACCATCTTGCTTCTGCCGCCGAGACCAAAGAGGCCGGAAGAAACGGCACTTCCGCTATATCGCGCAAGGAAGCTTCCGCCCTGGGAAGTACTTCCGGCGGGCGCGGTGCGTCGTTCTCAAGTGTCCGTCGCCGCGGTGAGAGGGGGTCGAAAGGAGGTTCCGGAGCCAGACGGGGCCAATAGGAGTTTAGCTCCCGGCAGGCGGGCGGGGCCAGAACTGGGCTCCTCCCTCTGCTTTGGCAGCGGGACCGGCTCCTGGGCCTTCGCATGTATTTGTCAGAGCGGAGACCTCATCGCGGGTTCCAGGCCGAGCTGCTGGGGAAGCTGGGGTGTGACGCTGGCCCTCCGGGGCTCCCCGCATCGTTGGCCTGGGTCGACGACGCGGAGAAGCCGGGTTCCCCCCATTGCTCCCCGAACCTGAGTTGAGGTCGCTGCGTGGATCAAGGCTCAGAATCTGAAAACCCAAGCAAATCGCGTGTTTTATAACCAGTCGAGGCACAATTTTGTTTCCGAGTTTCATTGTGCCCAGGCATCATACCTGGATTTTTAAAAATTTATATTTTTTTTATTTTTTTTTTTTTTTTTTTTTTTTTTTTTTTTACAGAGAGGAAGAGAAAGGGATAGAGAGTTAGAAACATCGATGAGAGAATCATCGATCAGCTGCCTCTTGCACAACCCCTACTAGGGATGTGCCCGCAACCAAGGTACATGTCCCCAACCGGAATCGAACCTGGGACCTTTCATTCCGCAGACTGACACTCTATCCACTGAGCCAAACCGGTTTCGGCCCTGGATTTTTTTAATGTGCTTTATTTCGCAAAGAGAAAAGGAGAGGGGGAGAAAAAATAGAAACATCAATGAAGAGAGAATCATGGATCAGCTTCCTCCTGCGCTCCCCACATTGGAGATCCAGCCCACACCCCGGGAATCCAACCAGGACCTCCCAGTTCACAGGTGGAGGCTCAGCCACGGAGCCATGTGGGCCGGGCCACAAGCGCGTCCGAAGTGTGGTTTCCTGGCCCCGACCGGAAGAATCCGAGTGTGCATTGTTATTTGTGTCTGGAAGTCTGTACTGAAGAAACGCTTTCCAACTAGTTTCTAATTGGTGGTTCCCAGTCCTCCATAAGCATGAATCTGGTTGTAACCTCTTATTCAACAAAGCCCCAAGCTTCGCAAAAGCGGTACAAACTGTCCAAACACTTAAAAATCACAGGGAAAAACGATCCCAAATAACCATAGAATGTGCCTTCTAAAGCAAACCAGGAACCCTGTACCTGTCCTATGTGAAGTATCAGCAAAGGAGACTTAACCGCTATCAGAACAAGATGAACTCTAGGAATCAGGTTTAATTTGGACAGGTGAACAATTGATTAGTGTCTACAAGCTCAGCCTAATTACTGGAGCAGGAGAGGGAGAGAGAGGGAGAGCCACATGCTAACCTGACAAGCTCAGGGAAGGCCTGCATGGCAGTCTTGCAAACTTAACGACCTAAAGTAACTACAAAGTGTGGTCTGAAATTAAAACTTTAAAAGCAGTTATAGTGGGTAGTCATGTCCTAGGCCAGAATTTTCCCTGACAAGGTCATTTTCTACCTTACCTGAGCCTCTGGTCTTTTTGCTGCTAAGATAACAGACCTATGAAATGTCAGGTAACTTGTAACTTCCCTTTTTCCTGAGTTTTCAGGGCACAATCCAGTGCACCTGGGTGCAGGGACAGAGACTTTGAATTCCTTCATTGTTATTATCCTGTTAATTATTGACTGCTAACTGTCCAGTTCTCACCTGAGTAAAAGAAGTATGTGTCTTATCATTTTATATATATATATAGATAGATAGATAGATAGATAGATATAGATATAGATATAGATATATAGATATATAGATATATAGATATATAGATATAGATATATATTGATATATATATATATATATATATATATAGATATATATATATATTGATATATTTTTTTTTTTACAGAGAGGAAGGGAGAGGGATAGAGAGTTAGAAACATCAATCAGCTGCCTCCTACCTGCCTCCTACACACTCCCCACCAGGGATGTGCCCGCAACCAAGGTACATGCCCTTGACTGGAATCAAACCTGGGACCCTTCAGTCTGAAGACTGACATTCTATCCACTGAGCCAAACCAGTTAAGGCTTACTTATTTTTTAAAAAATATATTTGTATTGATTTCAGAGAGGAAGGGGGAGCGAGAGAGATAAAAACATCAATGATGAGAATCATTGATTGGCTGCCTCCTGCACGTCCCCTACTGGGGGTGAGCCCAAAACCTAGGCATGTGACCTTGACTGGAATCAAGCCAGGGGCCCTTCAATCCAGGAGGCTGACAAGACTAAGTTCTATTTACTGAGCCAAACCTAGGCTTCCCACCTTTGCTTTTTCCCATCTCCCTAATTTTTAAAGAATATACATTTTATTGATTTTTTACAGAGAGGAAGGGAGAGGGAGAGAGAGTTAGAAACATGGATGAGAAAGAAACATCAATCAGCTGCTTCCTGCACACCCCTTTCTGGGGATCTGCCTGCAAACAAGGTACGTACTTTTCACTGGAATTGAACCTGGGACCCTTGAGTCCTCAGGCCAACGCTGTATCCACTGAGCCAAAGGGGTTAGGGCCCATCTCCCTAATCTTATCACCAGTGGATTTCATGTAACCCACTAACATCTCTTCTTTTGATTGTAGTGTATAAAACAAGGTGAAAAACCGCCCTTCTCCGGAGCTCTGTCCCAATCCATTGGGAATCTGCTTTCCAGCAATTGTTGACAGTTTGGCTCAACTAAACTCACAAAAATTATTTACAGGTTTGAATGTTTTTACATAACTATCAGGCTCTTTTCTAGGTGCTAGGAAGAGAAGCAAAGATAAACCTTTTATTAAAAAGTGACATGCTCAGGCATGACCATCCACCCTGGCCTGACTAGGAATTTAGGATCAGATAACCGTGTGATGTTTTCAGGTTCTCATGAACTGCATCACTGTAAATAAAGGCCAATTAAATGGGTTTTAAAAATCAAAGTCTGCTACTGAAAACAAAAAATTATTATGTAGTAATTTTTAAAGTAGAAAATTTGACCCCCTCTGTAATCATACACCAATGTTACAATTGGGTATCTTCTGTAGCTGTGTCCTTTTAAATATATCTATATACACATGTGTATACTATACACATTAATTTTTAAACAAAAATGGGGTCTAGGACTTATTTTCTGTAACAATATATCCTGGGTATCACTGCTTGTCCATATGTACAGGTTTACTTCATCTTTTACTTCATCTTTTAAATATATATATATTTTATATATATATTATTGATTTTTTTACAGAGAGGAAGGGAGAGGGATAGAGAGCCAGACACATTTATGAGAGAGAAACATCGATCAGCTGCCTCCTGCACACTACCCACCAGGGATGTGCCCTTGACCGAAATCCAACCTGGGACCCTTCAGTCCACTGAGCCAAACTGGTTTCGGCATTACTTATCTTTTTAACCACTTTTTGGTGTTTCATTGTTCATGTATCAACATGTATTCCACAATTTATGGAAATTTTTGGTTACTTTCAATTTTTTGTTATAAAGAGTTTTGTAATGCAGACATTGTACATACATTTTTGAGCATCGGTCTGAAATAATTCCTCTCTGAAATTAGTAAAGATATGTATTTTAAAAAAAAAAGACAGAGAGAGACTTCTCAGAGAAGTTGACCCTGGGGCCTAGTCATGCTAAGACTGAGTCACTGATGGAAAGAGCAGATAAATACCCCCATCCCCCAAGATGGGCTGGGAGGGCTCAGGGCTGGATTCTCCCACTGCCTTTCCTTGTTTGTATCTGCTTCTCCAACAGGAGGTGGCAATGACATATTTAATCTTTGCCAAATAGAATTAATCCTCTATTTATTTATTTATTTATTTATTTAAATACATTTTATTGATTTTTTATAGAGAGGAAGACAGAGAGATAGTTAGAAACATCGATGAGAGAGAATCATGGATCAGCTGCCTCCTGCGCACCCCCTACTGGGGATGTGCCTGCAACCAAGGTACATGCCCTTGACCTGAATCGAACCCGGGACCTTTCAGTCCACAGGGTGATGCTCTATTCACTGAGCCAAACTGGTTTTGGCTAATCCTCTTTTTATTTATTTATTTATTTATTTATTTATTAAATATATTTTATTGATTTTTTTACAGAGAGGAAGGGAAAGAGATAGAGAGCTAGAAACGTTGGTGAGAGAGAAACATTGACCAGCTGCCTCTTGCACATCTCCTACTGGGGATGTGCCCGCAACCAAGATACATGCTCCTGACTGGAATTGAACCTGGGACCTTTCAGTCCGCAGACTGACGCTCTACCACTGAGCTAAACCGGTTTCGGCTAATCCTCTTTTTAAAAAATTATTTTTCTTTCTTGAGATTTTATTGCTTGTTCTGAGGATAAGTACACAGACATTTCAGTTTGATCCTTTAAAAAGTATTTTCAAAGACATGTTTATTGATTTCAGAGAGAGGAAGGGAGAAGGGGAGGTAGAGAGAGAGAAACATCAATGATGAGAATCATTGATTGGCTGCCACCTGCATGTCAACTCCAAGGGACCAAGAGCCCTGGGAGCCACCCTGCCTGGGGAACACTGTGTGTCCAGTCCAAAACTTCTGTATCAATAGTCATCATACTTGTCTTCCTTCTCTCTGAGGCTGGGCTCTGCTCACCCTTTTGTTTTCTCTGTTTTGTGCAGTGAGATGTGTAGTCATTAGCCAATCCAGCCTGTTCCCCTCTGCTCTGCCCTGTTTGCACTTCCTGGTCTGCAGCTCAGCCTCTCCTGCCACCTTTCCTGGCGCTGTTTCCTCTTTGGCCAAAGCAGGTTTAGGGACCAGCTTGCCCTCCTCCCCTGGGGCTGCCCCTGTGCTGCCCTCCCTCGGGAGCTGACCTTCCTCCGGAGCATGTGGCAATGATTAGCTGCAGGGACCCGCCTCAACTTGTGATCATTCGGAAGGCTTGGGCAATCCTGTTCCTGCCCTAGAGAGCTGGAGCTATGGCTGCCGGGATTATAGAAAAGGAACGAAAAAAGTTGCTGGAAATCCTCCAGCAAGACCTGGACTCGATCCTCGATTCGTTAACCTCTCGGAGGCTGATTTCCGAGGACGAGTATGAGGCCCTGGAGGGCATTCCAGACCCCCTGAGGAAGAGTCGGAAGCTGTTGATTTTGGTGCAGAAAAAGGGAGAAGACAGTTGTCAGCATTTCCTCAAATGTTTATGTAGTACTTTTCCAGAGTCAGCGACCACTTGGGGCTTAATGCATGGTAAGTTGAATTGTTGAATTTCTACACTTTTTTTTGGTGGTCGTGGGGGGGAAGGGTAGGTGAGGGTGGTGGTGAAAGGGGTGAGGCAAATTTCCTGGAAAAAGAAAAGAAACAAGAAACTGATCACCTTTTATTTTTATTTGTCTTTCTCCCAGGGATAATTTTTCACTGAAATATAATAAAGAGGAAGTGGCCAGCAGTTAAAAAGCAGGGGACAATGTCTCTTATCAGTTTAGGGAATTGATCATTTTTTCTTTAAACTGTGTCCAAAATTTGTAGTGTTTTTAGTATCGTATAGACTCCTCATTGTTACAATAGACATCTCCAAATACTCACAGCTGGAAGGAGACTACAGGGATTTCTTTGTGTAGTAAGGGAATTCCTGAATATAAGTAATCCCCAAACCACAGCCTGCCTCGTTCACCTCGTATAACCATTTGGAAAATGCAGGGAAATTGGGGAAATAATCCCTTACGTAGTAGGTCAGCCACTTTCTTTTTTTCTGGGGAACCCTCGTGTTCTAAGTAATTCCTACCCGAATTTTTCAATGTGCAGAGATAATTAAATGAGGAAGCCCTCCTTCTGGAATGGATTGGTTAGGAATTCCATAGGTTACCGCCAGGGGCTGGTTGTAGCTCCTTTTATGGGAACCTAAGGCCTGTTGAAGATCACTTTAAGAGGCATTACAGAGGTGCAGTCCCAGGTTAAAAAAAAAAAAAAAAAAGGTTTATATTAATGGTCCCTAATGTGTGACAAGACCCGTTTGCTTAAAGAAATAGACCTTACTATTTATTTCTAGGATTTACAATTCCTAAACTAGAGCACTTTGCTTCCTGATTAGAAATGATTAGGATCAGACTTCATTACCAATGGCCCTAGGAGTTCTGAGCTGGTTTGGGGTTACAGTAAATCCACAAGTTCATAAGATTCAAATTTTGTTTTGTTCATTTAATGCTTGAGTTTTCTGTGAAAGACTTGGAATTAAAAAAAATATATATATATTTTACTCATTTTTTACAGAGAGGAAGGGAGAGGGATAGAGAGCCAGAAACATCAATGAGAGAGAAGCATATATCAACTGCCTCCTGCACACCCCTTTCTGGGGATGTGTCCGCAACCAAGGTACATGCCCTTGACCGGAATCGAACCCAAGACCCTACAGTCCACAGGCCGACGCTCTAACCACTGAGCCAAACCGGTTTTGGCAAGACTTGGAATTTTGAGCAAGGCAGGAGTGGTGTGTTCTGATTTTTTTTTCCCAGTGGGAAAAGCAGGTCTGACAGTTGACTTATTGCCACCTATGTTGGAAGGGGTAGGTATTCCAATCCTGCAGTGCCATAAAGAAGAGAGATAATGCTCTGAGAGCTCAGAAACACAATAGAAAACTCCTTTTTGTTAATTTAGAAAACAAAGTGAAAAACCCCATAACTTTCTCGTTCTTTTCAGAGTTTTTAAAACATGAAAATATAGAATCTCCTCAATCTCCAGGGGTAAGCAAGAATTCGGAAGACCTATTTTCCCCGGGAAAGGAACAGCCGGAGAGTTCTGAGATCACAGTGTCCTTTAAAAAGAAAGAACACCTGGAGGAGGTGGACACCTCTGGGATGCTCATAGATACGGAAAGTAGTTATGGCGAGATGGCATGGTCCTCAGGGGAAAACGAGAAGGCGTACAACCCACCAGCAGCCACGATGTCACCTTCAGAGGAGAGTGTCGAGTCTGAAGTTTCAGGAACTATCGATTATTCACAGGACCAACAGAGATACGATGAGCCCGATGAGTCTTTATACTTAGGAGAAGAGGAGGACCTCGCATCGGCTGAGGATGCAGAAAGCAACGAGGAAGAAGGTGATAACAACCCAGAGTACCTTGACTACGGTGGGGAAGAGGACCCTGTGTATTCAGAAACCGCAGAGTTCTCTGGTGACGAGCAGAGTTACGGTGACTCAGAACCAGGCATGCTGTTGGAGGAGGAGGAGGAGGAAGAAAGTATGGAAGGTATGAGAATGACTTGTGATCCTTAGGCAACAACATGTTTTTAGGTTGCCGTGACAGAATGGAGAGAACAGGATGAGGGATGGCACCAGATGTCAGCCGTAGAGCAGCCTCTCAGAAATTCCCTGTACCTCTCTAGCCTGGACTGTCCGTGGGTGGTGTTGACAGGGAGGGAGACCCAGCACCTAGGAAATGCTGGACAGGATAAGCCAAAGTAAACACTGAAGGCAGCTGTAGGTTTCTGATATCTCCACAATATCATTTATGTGAAAATGAACTAGCATCCAGTAAGCCAAACTAGGTATTTCCATACCTCCATGCATGCTTATGGACGTGCATAGGAAAAGGGTGGGAAGCAAACATATGGGCGTCTCTTAGAAGGGAAGTAAGAGTTCACCAGTTCTCCTCTGTCACACATGTAAGAGTTGCTAGACACTCATTTTATTGTATTTATTTTTTATTGCTTTAAATATATTTTTATTGATTTCAGAGAGGAAGGGAGAGGGAGAGAGAGATAGAAACATCAGTGACGACAGAAGGTCATTGACCTGCTGCCTCCTGCACACTCCCTCCTGGGGATCAAGCCCACAACCCGGGCATATGCCCTTGACCAGAATTGAACCCTTCAGTCGGCAGGCTGATGCTCTATCCACTGAGCCAAACTGGCTAGGGCTGTTAGATACTCATTTTAGCTGTTATCTTCTATTCCTTAAATTAAGTCTCTTTAGTCATTTTAATGCCTCTGTAACCAATGGATATGATAATGATGGGCCTAATGATTGAAGTGAAAACAGGAGAGGAGTTTCTGATGGATGGATAAAATCACAATATAATGTTACTTGGCTAATCCAGCCCATATATTGCCATCTTGGAAAACTATACTGGCATCTTCAATTAGAATATTTTTTCTTTTTTAAAAAATTTATTTATTTTATTGAATTTATTGGAGTGACATTGTTTAATAATACTATATAAGTGTCAAATGTACAATTCTATATCATCTGTATGTTGTAGTGTGTTCCCCACCCCAAGTCAAGTTTCCTTCCATCACATCTATCCCCCTTGTGCCCTCTCCTAGCTCCCCAGCCCTCTTTCCCTCTGATAATCACCATGCTGTTGTCTGGGTCTATGAGGTTTCTTCCCCCCCATCCCCCTTAAACCCTTTATTTTTTTCACCCTGACCCTCTACCCCATGCCCTCTGATAGCTGTCAGTCTTTCTCTTCTATGAGTCTGTTTCTATTTTGTTTGCCAGTTTATTTTGTTCATCAGATTTCACATATAAGTGAAATCACATGGTATTTGTCTTTCTCTGACTGGCTTATTTCACTTAGCATAATACTCTCTGGGTCCGTCCACAAAAGGCAAGATTTCCTTTTTTTATGGCCGAGAACTATTCCATTGTGTAAATGTGCCACAGCTTTTTGAAATTTCAAAATATGACAAATGCTCTATTTGGGGAGATCTTGCCTAAGGAAATAGGCATCACCAAGTTCTGAGTAGAGAAGGGGAAGAAGACTACCACCTCCCATTCTGTCCAAATCCCTGGGGGATTCTGAATCCAGTTCTGGGTGGGGAAAGAGTTATTTCCTCCTCACCACACCTGGTATTTGTCCGCCAGGACTGCCTAAGGAGGTGCCACCAATTGGGGAGATTGGACAATAAACGACAGAAATGTATTGTCTCAACAGTTTGGAGGCTAGAAGTCTGAAATCAAGGTGTCCACAGCATTGGTTTTTTTTCTTTTTTTCTTTTTTTCTTTTCTTTTCTTTCTTTCTTTCTTTTTCTTTTTTAAAATATATTTTATTGATTTTTTACTGGGAGAAGAGAGAGAGAGAGAGAGAGAGATAGAAACATCAATGAGAGAGAAACACCGATCAGCTGCCTCCTGCACACCTCCCACTGGGGATGTGCCTGCAACCAATGTACATGCCCTTGACCGGAATCGAACCTGGGACCCTTCAGTCCGCAGACCGATGCTCTATCCACTGAGCCAAACCGGCTTCGGCAGTGTTGGTTCCTTCTAAAGGCTGCAGAGATAACCTGTTTCTAGCTTTGCTGGTTTGCTGGAAATCTTGGGCAACTTTCAGAGAGCCCAAGGGTTTTTTTTAGAGTTACTTTTGTTAATTCTTAAAATGTATACTTTTCTCTCACTTCTATTGTTTCTTCTAAGGAGGTTTTTTTTTTTTTTTTTTTTTTTTTTTTTTTTTTTTTTTTACGGGATTTGGGATTTGAGAAGCTTATGTTAATTTGCCATCCACCAGGAGCAAAAAAACGCGATCAGATCATCTTTCTCTACTAAGCACTATCTCTCTGTTCCCAAGAAGTAGCTAGAGGGTACATTAGGAAATGGGAGACCAGGCGAAATTAGGTGCAACATGGACATTTGGAGAAAACCTAAATGGCAATGGCAATCTTCCTTTTCTCCAAACTTTAGCAAGAGATGCACTTGAGAAAGGAATCAATACCAGAGAATTCCTCATACATGTGTATAATGAAACACTAACAAGGTTTTCATTTTCTGCATATACACATTAGCCAAAAAATTTCCAAACCATAAAATATGATGGATCAGCTAAAATGAATTAATTAGATCTCTATATATACTGACTGGGGAGAATTTGTAAGAAATACCATTAAGTGAAAACAGGTTGTAGAAACATTTGTTTAGTATAATATCATTTATGTGAAAATAAACTAGCATCCATTAAACCAAACTAGGTATTTCTATATACCCAGGCATGCTTATGGACATGCATAGGAAAAGGGTGGGATGCAAACATATGGACGCTCTTAGAAGGAACTTACCTAAATTGGTAGAGTTGTTTCATCTTTTACAGTGAAAATAGAATTACTTAGACTTGCCGAAACCGGTTTGGCTCAATGGATAGTAGGGGTGTCGAACTCAATCAGAGAAGGGGCCAAAATCTAAAATCCAGCCTAAATCGCGGGCCGAATGGTTTACTGAACAGTCATAAACTGTCATTGTGATGGAAACGCAGCGGAGTGCAGTGATGACAGCGCGGTGCGGGCCACATTGCAAGGCCTGGCGGGACGGATTTGGCCCGTGGGCCTTGTGTTTGACACATGTGGGATAGAGCGTCGGCTTGGGAACTGAAGGGTCCCGGGTTTAATTCCAGTCAAGGGCATGTACTTTGGTTGCGGGCATATCCCCAGGAGAGGGTGTGCAAGAGGCAGCTGATCGATAACTCTCTCTCATAGATGTTTCTAACTCTCTATCTCTCTCCCTTCCTCTCTGTAAAAAAATCAATAAAATATATTTTTTTAAAAAGCATTACTTAGACTTTGCATTTGAAAGTGACGTTCATGGAGTGTCTTCTCTCCCACAGAAAGAAAAAAGGTGTTTAAAGACGTCCTGTCCTGTTTGAACTTGGATAGGAGCAGAAAGCTCCTGCCGGATTTTGTTCAACAGTTCTCCTTAGACCGAGGATGTAAGTGGACACCCGAGACTCCGGGAGACCTGGCCTGGAATTTCCTGGTGAAAGTTCTAGCACTGGATGTGACGGCCAGAGATTCCATCCTGAGACACGAGGTTCTGGGTGAGGATGGCAGAGGGGCGTCGCCATCCGGAGTGGAGAATCTGGAAATGAGGGACACACCAGCCATGAACCCCCTGGATGTGCTCTGTGCCTCCCTGCTGTGTTCAGACAGCTCTCTGCAGCACGCTGTCATGTCAAGCATGTATCGATGCGGGTTTGCCCTTCCTCTGCTCCTGCCAGATGCAGAGAACAACAAAAGCATCTTAATGCTGGGCGCCATGAAGGGCATCGTGAAGGGGCAGCCAGCACTGCCTTCAGAAGGGCCCGCGGGGGAAACCGAGAGGTCTCTGGCTCGCGCAAAGATGCCCGTCATCTCTTTTGTGCGCCTAGGAGACTGTAGCTTCTCCAAGTCCAGAATCCTCAATGCACTGCTTAGCCCTGCCCAACCCCAACTGCACAAAGTCTTCCTCCATCACGATTTGCCTGTCCCGGTGCTTCCCCGGCAGATCTCGGATGGCCTCGTGGAAATAGCATGGTGCTTTCCCGAGAGTGACAGTCTAAGGGGAAACCCTCCCCTTTTCCCAGAGCCTGTTGCTGTGGCCAACCTCCATGGTGATCTAGAAAGTGTCTGGACACAATTTGGTTTCTTGGTGGAAGTTTCCTCAGTTGTGTTTTTTTTCACGGACTGCCTGGGTGAGAAGGAATGGGACTTGCTCATGTTTCTAGGAGAAGATGCCATTGGAAGATGCTACTTTATCCTCAGTCCCCAGGCCAGGGAGAGTGAAGAGGCACAAATTTTCCAGATGATTCTGAAGTTGAAGCCATCACAGCTACTGTTTTGGGAGGAGGAGGAGGAAGCTGGGGAGGAAGGGAGGAACTGGCTGGGCCTCCGGACTGCCCTCCAAGAGGTGATGTCCTCGTCACTCCGACGTGTGTCTGTGGAGGACATGGCCTCCCTGGCCAGGGAGTTGGGGATCCAGGTAGACCAAGACTTTGAGAACGTTCAAGGAATTCACCAGGTTGTTCCTGGTGACAACCTGGCTGGGACAGTTGAAGAGGAGGGGCAACGAAGACACAGTCAGCCAGAGAGCTCGTCTGAAAGCCCCGCGGAGGTGCCTGCGCGAGAGCTCGGCACCGAAGGCGAGGTCACCCAGGCTCTCCAGAATGTCCACCTCGCCCCAGTGTTTGTGCCTTATGTGCACAACCTCTGTCCGTTCCCAGTCAGAATTGGAGGCCACCTGAACCGTGCTCCTGTGAGAGGCCCTAGGGTTGCAGGCTTCCACCTTGGGTCAGAGCAGAAGTCCAAGTGGTTCCGTCCGCCACCCTTTCATAATTCCAGGGTCCCTGGTCAAGGCAGAAGTTTCGGGGTTCAGTACTTCCAACCCCAGAGATTTTGTCCTCCTGGAAGTTTTATGAAATTTTCGAGACCTGCTCGGGGCAGTCACATGGTTGGACTATGGGGGAGACCACCAAGACCCATTTGGCGGCACGTGAAGACTTGGCTTGGCAGACCGCAGACCCCGGGAGGTCACTTCCACGCACAGCCAGCAGGACCAGCTGGGAGGCCATCGCCTAGGCAGGCCCACGCCCGGGGAACACAGCCGCCTGAGGCCACTGAGAAACAGATGAGAACATCACCCCACACTGTGACTCCTCACCCTCGAAACTTTCAGCCAGCAGGGGTCATACACAGACCCTTAAGACCCGCTTTTCAGCAGGGATTCAAGCTAAAGACACCAGCTGGGCCTTCAAATCCAGCTCGCCAAATGGGATCCCATCCTACATCTAACAGATTTTTACCCAACTCTTTGTTCCGTCAGCCCACGCCATCCCAGGGCAAGCATTCCCAGCCCAGACCCTTCCAACCTATGGCTTCTCAACCCAAACCTACCCAAACAAAGCCCACTCAGCCCCAGCCCGCCCAAGCTAGATGCTCTCAATCCAAACCCACTCAGCCCCAGCCCTCCCACGCTAGATGCTCCCCATCCAGACCCACTCAGCCCCAGCCCTCCCAAGCTAGATGCTCTCAATCCAAACCCACTCAGCCCCAGCCCTCCCACGCTAGATGCTCTCAATCCAGACCCACTCAGCCTAAGCCCTCCCATGCTAGGCCTTCTCAGCCCAGACCTACTCAACCCAAGTCATCAGGAACCAGTGCGTCACAGGCTAAGGCATCCTACTCAAGAGCAGGGCCCAAGAGGGGAGGGAAGCATTAAAGTGCTTACTCCAGAGACCTGTGAAATGTATCCTTTACGCAGGCCATTCCAATCACAGGATAGTACCCTAAAGAAGTGATGGTAAGAGACCACTACCATTAGCATGACACACAACAGGAGATATGCACAGCCTAATTGTAAGAATTGTGTCCCTAAGAAAGAGGGGAAATATGAAAAGAATTAAGGATAGAATAAAGTGGTAAATAAATTAGTTGAATTCAGCCTTGAGTCTTAGATAATATTATATATAACCTGAATCCAGGGAATGGGTTTATGAGGCAGCTCCACTTGGGAAAGAATGGGCTTGGAGTCTCCAATTGTAAAGAGATCATAAATTATGGCTCGGGCTGCCTCAGTATCGAAAATGAAATTGCCTTAGATTTTGGCTGTTCCAGAGTGTCTTGGTCAAAATTTTTGGTTTAATATCAGGCACTAACCAGGTAACCCTGTTTGTTTAGGATAATCAATTTGCTTGTGGTGAATTTGCTTAGATGATGAAACTCTCATTTGACCCTTATGTATAGAAATAATGAACTATCAACCAATAAAATTATTTTTCATTAACTTTAATAGTGATCTGTGCATGTTTCATTATTTTAAATATTTGTGATAGGTAAGATAATTGGGCTTAATCTTAGAAGATCTGATACATTAACCTCATGGTTTCAGCTTAAAATGTATACTTACCAGTAAGTTTTTTTGGGGGTTTGTTTTTTGTTAATCCTCACCTGAGGATATTTTTTCATTGATTTTTAAAGGGAGTGGAAAGGAGAGGGAAAGACAGAGAGAGACATCGATGTGAGAGACACATCAACTGGCTGCCAGGGGACCTGCAACCAAGGTACATGCCCTTGACTGAAATCGAACCCGGGACTGACACTCTATCTACAGAGCCAAACTGGCTAGGGCTATATACTTAAGTTTTTTAATGTTGGAGTAGTTATTATTATTATTATTTATTGATTTCAAATGTATTCAGAGGTCAGCTATTTTTGTTTGTAGAAGGTAGAGACAAACATACATGGTTAAACATGACAAGTAATTTAGCAGCCACCTTTGGCCATTAATTTCAAACTCTTCCAATGACAGTTTTTGAAATTAATGTTAATAGAGGTGTTGAGTATAAAAGCATTTCTATTGTTGGTGGGAGCATAAGCTAGTACAGTCCTTTGGGAAGGCAATTTGACTGCATGAATAAAAATAAAATACCTATAACTTTTGGTCCAGTAAATTTATTTTATGAACTCATTCTACATATATTCCTGTTAATGTATGCAAGATGTATATGTGTAAAAATATACAACTTTTTTTTTAAGAGAACATTTATTGGGTAAGTTACAGAGGTAGAAAAAGTAATTCCTAGAAGAAATGGGCTTAGGAAACAAGTTCTAGAGATAAAGAAAGGGCCCTTGGTAACGTGCCTGGTGGGCTGGGTGGTAGGAGGTAGGAATAAGGGGGAGGGGGAGACGGGTGTGAAGGGGAGGGAAAAGGAAAGGCACAGGCCTGCTCCCAGGAGGGAGAGTGCGTTGGGTCCTCCATCCTAAGGGTTTTAAGAGCGGAGATTCTATGGAAGGTCCCAGGGAAAGATCTCAATAGAACACTCAGCAGTTTTCCAGGTGTGTTCTTTCAGGGGGTACTGAACCCCAAAACTTCTACCTTGACTATGGACCCTTGAATTACGACCCACTGGTTGATTGGCCAGCACCAGGGCAGGTCAGTATTCCATGCCGCTGGTCCTGAGGCTGGTTATCTGGGCCTGGAGCTGAAGTACAACAATGATCCCCCTCATGGCCAGTCACAGGGAGGATGGACTCACTCCGCTCAGTCAGGTGGACTCCACTCCATGGGGGCATCCTGGGTGCCACCTGGGCCGTCCAGTTTTACTCCGTGTCCTTGAAGAGTTAGCGCTATCCTTTCAGACCTCACGACAGATCAGCCTTTGGGGTAACGGTATCTGGTAAATGAATAAGTGCATGAAAACTGGCATGGGGGATTTTCTTGGTTGAAAGAGGAGTGGGGGGGGGGGAAGCAGAAAATAGAGCCTGGGGCACATGAGAAGTCTGAAATGCACCATGTGGGCCTGACCATGAGACCTGCTCCCCTGTGCTAAGTCCAGCCAGAAGGATCAGGCTTAACAGTTTCTCCGTCCCAGGACCTTAATTTATCGGCGGAATTCTCCTCATACATCTTTTGAAGGCTGCTGTCAGATGGAATAGAAAATGCTTTAGAAACCCATTTGAATTATAGCAGCACCATACATTTAATATTTTTGTCGGAGGGACTTAGGGTGAGCAGAGGGTCAACTTTGCCTTTTTTCCCCCCTCTCTCTTTTTAATCAGAAGGGGCCCATCACTCAGCATAATAGTTAGTGGTTTTGGGAGTGAAAAAAGTCCTCTCAGCATAAGGTGAACCTGTTGGGTTCAAAAGCATAATAAGCTTTCTTTCTTTCCTGAAATAGACCCAATCAATATACTTTATTGTATTTTATCGGGGCATTCATCAGATAAATCTGATGAATCAAACGCGAGGTAAAGCTTTTTCTGAGAGTTTGGAAATGCATGCACCTGGGATCTGGGGCTGTGTCTAGGAATATTATTCATTCTGCAAAAATGCTCTGAGCTTCCACCATGGGCCCAAATGCAGAGCGTCCGGGGAAACATTTAACTATTTCTGCTGGAGTGGGGGTCACACAATCAGCCCATCATGCAAGGCCCAGTCATGAAGGTGTGGAGAAGCCCATGTGATTAAGTGCAGAGCTGTTTCTCAGCAGAGCTGTTCGGGGTGATGAAGGCTGGCTCTTCAGGTTCCAACTGTGAGTGGACAGGACAGCAGCTGGTTACAAGGGGAGCAGTTGGCCTCAGTTAGGAGTGCTTTGAGGTCACCTATGGTGACAAAGGTTAAGGCGGAGTATTGGGGTGCAGATGCTGATAGGTGGGTGGGTGCACAATGAGAGTGTGGAAGTCCTCTTATAACGGATTCCATTGTATAAATGAAATAGACAAAAGGCACGTGAAAAGATGCTCAAGATTATTATTAGAAGAATCAAAATCAAAGCCACCATGAGATATGTCTTCGCACTTTCTCTGATGGCTATAATTAAAAAGATGGACAGCAAGAGTTATCAGAGAGGATGTGGAGAAATTAAAGTTCTTGTGCACTCTTAGTGGAAATGTTAAAAGGCGCAGCTGATTTTGAAAATAATTTGGTATAGTTCCTCAAAGTGTTAAGCAAAGAGCTATATTCTCAAAATAATTGAGATATCTCTATACAAAAACCTTATATGAATGTTCATAGCAGCATACTATCTAATAAAAAGGGTGTGGAGAGTGTGGAGACCTATACGTATTCAAGATTAATTCTATATATTTTGGATTTCATAAACCCCATAGAAAGGTTTTATTTTCTTGTTTGTTTTACACTATAAAAATAAAATTTGTTTTTTCTATTTTAATTTGATGGAATGCTTCTTGTTCATCAAGTGTCTGCATGGTCACTAGATGGCACTATTGAGTCATGGAAAGTAAATGGCTTTTTTTTTTAAACTTCCAACTTTATTATTATTTTTAAAATTTAATTTTTATTGATTTTTTTTTGGTGACATTGGTGAATAACATGAAATAGATTTCAGGTGCACAATTCTACAGCACATCATCTGTACACGGTATTGTGTGTTCACCACCCAAAGTCAAGTCTCCTTTCATCACCATTTGTTCCCCCCTTTACCTTCTTTTACCTCATTATTTTTATTTTAAGAAAGCTGAGGCTAGCCAAAACCAGTTTGGCTCAGTGTATAGAGTGTCAGCCTGTAGACTTAAGGGTCCCGGGTTCGATTCTGGTCAGGGGCATGTACCTTAGTTGCGGGCACATCCCAGGTAGGGGACGTGCAGGAGACAGCTGATCAATGACTCTCTCTTATCAATGTTTCTAACTCTCTATTTCTCTTCCTTCCTCTCTGTAAAAAAAAAAAAAATCATTAAAATATATTTTAAAAAAAAAGAAGAATAAAAAGAAAGTTGAGGCTTAAAATAATAATGTAGATAGTAAATGGTAAAGCCTGGATTTGAGACAAGACTTGGTTGATGCTTTTTCCAGCAAGTCACATTTTCTCCTAAGAAGCAGGCCCACACAAGGAGAGTGAAGCTGATCTCTTATGAGTATGGATAACTTAATACATCTTCATGAGTATTTAAATGCATGCAATTAGTGCTCTTTTAGTATATGCGCACTAGGAAAGAAGGTACATTTGGAAACATAGTCACATAAAAATCTAGGAACTGTGTTAGAGTGATGATCTATGAATCACCCGGTCTCCCTTGCACCTAGACCACCTGGCGCCCATGAAGCCTTCAGTGAGATCTGTTCTTCCAGATGCTCACAATATACCCCAGTCCCACCAAATGAATGAATGAACAAGCAAGCATAGGCCAGAGAATCTTTAGGATGCTTATTCTGTTGCACTCTAAGCAATAAAATAATAGAGCTAATACATTTAAATGGGATAATTTTGAATTTTACCTTTGAGTAAAGCAGAAAGCTACAGAATGGTAAGTTAGCTTTCTTTTTTCTCATTAAAACTGTGTAGAGGGCCTCCTGGGAAGGCACATGGACATCCTTTAAAGTGTCAGTTGAGCCCGAGGCACTGGCAGAGTCCCGGTCCCCAAGAGGGCTGGGGGTGTTATTCAGTTTCTGACTTACCTTTGTCCAGGTGTCAGCAGGAGCGGGTGTAGATATGTAAATCAAGAAATGCTAGGGCCTAGTTAAGAATGCAAATAAGCTCCTTTGACCCTATAAAATAAACCTGCTGCGTGGCTCGGCTGCTTGCTGCCTCTCCATCAGAGAGGATGGTGCCCACCTAGCTCCCAGCTTGAAGAATGTATTTCTGCCTCTTGGTCTCTTTCTTTCTTTAATTTCTTAATCCCCAGCTCCTCAATTCAGGAACCTATTTCCTTTTCCATGATGGAGATGGTTGTGGAAAACAGAGAAACACCCCCACCCCCCCGCAAAAGTATATTTTGCAAATCTTTTCATATCAACGCATAGAAAACTTCAATGTTTTAGAACTGTATAATATTCCATTTTAATGTGCATACTATAATTGACTTAACCAGTCCACGATTGGTGAGTATTCGGGTTGTTTCTAGTCTTTTGAACAATAGTTCACATTTATTGAACTAAGCTTAATATAGCTCAGGCACAGAGCAAATTGCTTTATTTGGATACATTTTATGAAACAACCCTTAAGTTAGTTAATACTATTTCCTTCTTTTTGGATAAGGAAGCAAGAGGATCAAGGTCACTAAGCAACTTGCCTAAGACTTGAACCTGGACTGTCTCCCTTTAGAGCACATTGTATACTAATGAAACATAATTAGTACCCTTCATTAATTTTATAAAAAAATTTCCCATTAAGAAGTTTCCAGTTATGTGTCTGTGGTTGCTCTTCACTTTTTCCAAGATTTTCTTTTAACAAACATTCGAAGAGTTTGTACAGTGCAGGGTTTTACTTCTTTCTACCACCTATGCTTTATTTTTTGTGGCCATGGAATATGTAATGATAAATCTGATACCAA